TTCTTGACATTGCAGTGGGAGCAAAACCACGTCTACACTGAAGTAATGGTGGATTCGGGAGCTTGCTCCAACTTCATTGACAATCAATTGGTTAAAACAAATAAAATCCCTACCCTAGCAAAAGCAGTACCGCTTGCAGTGAGTTTTATTGATGGAACCACATTAGCCACAGGTCTGATTTCTCGGGAAACACAGCTTCTACAGGTGACCACATCCGGGAACCACACGGAAGTATTGGCTTTCGATGTGATTACTTCGCCAACCTTCCCAGTGATCCTTGGATTACCTTGGTTGCGTTTGCATCAACTAGCTCACCTGTGGTCGCAGGGCGGGCTTCAGCTTAACTCCCCGTACTGCCAGGAGAACTGTCTCCCTAAACCTCATGTACTACAAATCTCGCCATTGTCGGTTCCCCCCCAGTACGGGGAGTTCACTGACGTTTTCAGTCGGAAGGGGGCTAACGCATTACCTCCACATAGGCCATACGACTGCCCTATTGACTTGCTCCCTGGGAGCGAAATACCCGTAGGCCGCATATACCCTTTATCGGAACCAGAACTGAAACATCTACGGGAGTAGTTAGATGAGAACCTAAAAAAGGGGTTCATCAGCCCCTCAACTTCACCCGCTGGCTCAGGCATGTTTTTTGTGAGGAACAAAGACCAAAGCTTGCGCCCGATCATAGACTATCACCCACTCAACAAAATAACAATCAAAAACTGCTACCCATTACCGTTGATTCCCCAGCTCATCGAGAGATTACAAGATGCAAAGGTTTTCACAAAACTGGACCTAAAGGGGGCTTACAATCTCGTAAGAATATATCCTGGCGACGAATGGAAAATGGCTTTTCGTACCAGATACGGGCTCTTCGAATACAACGTGATGCTTTTTGACCTGTGTAATGCCCCCACCACCTTCCAGGCATTCATTAATGATGTCTTCAGGGACCTCCTCGATGTCTACGTTGTGATCTACTTGGATGACATATTGATTTTCTCAGACACCCTCGAGAATCACAGGAAACATGTCAGGTGGGTGCTGGGCCGCCTTAGAGCTCACAATCTCTATGCTAAGTTGGAGAAATGTATTTTTGAATCATGCACTATTCCATTCTTGGGGTTCATTATCTCCCCTGAAGGGGTAAAGATGGACGCATCCAAAATCGAGTGCATCATCAACTGGCCTGAAACCAAATCTAGACGTGCGTTACAGCGATTTCTCGGATTCGCCAATTTTTACCGCAAATTCATTAAAAATGTCTCTCACATCGTCAAACCACTGTCACAGCTTACCAGCATCAAGACGAAGTATTCCCGGTCCTTGGAGGCTCAGGCTGCTATCAACATGCTTAAACACTGGTTCACTACCGCTCCTATATTGCATCTTCCCGCTCCCGATTTAAACTACGTTCTGGAGGTAGATGCATCAGATGTCGCCATTGGTGCCATCTTCTCCCAAAGAGTGGACCTGAGTTCCCCTCAACATCCTGTGGCATTTTTCTCTCGTTCGTTAAACCACGCCGAGTTGAACTACGCCGTGGGTGAGAAGGAATTGCCGCGCTAGAGCAATGGAGGCATCTTCTGGAAGGCACGAAGATCCCCTTCATCATCTACACCGATCACAAAAACCTCCAATACCTTCAAACTAACAAAACCCTATCATCAAGACAGGTCAGGTGGAGTCTTTTCTTTAGCCGCTTCGACTTTGTGATAACATACCGACCAGGGGCGAAAAACGGTAAGGCAGACTCCCTCTCCAGAACGGAAGACACCAACACTTGCCTAAAGGAAACCGGAACGGTCATCGATCCCATCAGAATATTGGCCTCCACAATCGACCTGAAGAAGCAGTTAATAGAAGCCACTCGGAATTCAGGAGAGACCCTACCAGCTCACCTACAGGAAGACCAGGAAGGCCTGATGTACAAAGACTCCAAGCTATTCGTACCCGATTCCATGAAGGTACCCATCCTTAAGCTGATGCACGACAATCCGATGGCGGGCCATCCGGGTATGAATAAGTTACAAATTGATGACTTACAGTTGGGATGTGAGCCTATATGCCCTGGTGTCTCTCACATAATGTTCTCCACAGTCTGTTTGACGCGATGTCCACAGCTAGCAGGTGGGAAGAGAGTAGGTGTCTGCCCGGACCGGAGTGGGAAAACGAGGTGTCAGCCGATGTCACAAACTCAGCTGGCCAGGCTGAGCCGCGGCGGCTGAGACGGGAAAGCAGTGAGCCGCGATCGGCTCCGTAGCCCCGGACTCTATGCGTGTGGTTACAGTACTAGATGTGGCTGTCATCGGGCTGTCAGCGTAGTGCACAAGGATGGACCAGTGCGTGGGACAGTGAGGGATCTGTACGGGGGGATGGATCTTGCTGCCTGCAGGATACGGCTACGCGTTTCGAGGAGATTTCCTCTTTGTCAAGCCACAGAAAGTTAACTTGCTTTTCCTGCTAGGATGTGGGGATTCCTTACAAGCGCCTAGGGCCACGAAGCTCCTTGTCTTTCATGTAGCTTTCTATGCCCGGAGGGAAATAATCCTGAGATGGAAGTTGGCTCCCCCCCACCACGGTGGGACAATGGTTACACACAATTGATAGAATGCTCCCTCTCTACAGGCTGACATACATGAGCCGTAATTGTGTGCGCAAATTTGATCGGATTTGGGGAGACTGGGTGGCGGCTAGGGGACTTACCTTGGAGGGTCCGGGCGGAGAGACCTTGCTCCCGCCTGTATCCCCTGAGCAGTGATCCAGCTGTGAGTTGATGAGGGACCTGTGAGATTATATAGGCGGGAAAGGATAGTTTGAGAACATGATCCCTTTGGGAGCGTGCTGTAATGTGCTGCTATTAATTTTCTTGTGCTGTGTGTTGACTGTTGTGTGTTTCAAAACTAATACTTTACCTGTTAAAAAAAAAAAAAGGTGCTCGCCAGGGCTATCCTCTCTCCCGACTCCTATACAATATTGCTATTGAACCGCTATCCCGTTCCCTAGCCTCCAATCTAATATTTAGTGGTTATCAATCCGGTCATTATGATGCTAAATTGACCTTATTTGCAGATGACATCTTGCTACTTCTGTCCGATCCACTGACCCAAATTCCAAACATTCTAAATCACATAAAATTCTATGGTTCCTTCTCTGGCCTTACGATCAATGTAGATAAAAGCAAAATTGTACCTTTGATCCAAGATAAATCTTCTATGAATGTCCTATACTGTGCCCATCCCTCTCTACAGATACAAAAGAGATTCCTTACATATTTGGGTATATGTATTCCCCGCTCGGCTAGAGACCTATACCCCTAAACTGCAAATCAATCAGCAAAATAATACAGGAATTACGCTCATGGCAAGACTATCCAGTTTTTCTCCTGGGCAGATGTCACATAATTAAAATGGTTAGTTTTGCAAGGTTACTTTACCCTCTTAAAACTATACCTGTTCTCCTTAAACATAAGGATATTATTCTATTAAATAAAGCTTCTTCAACTTTTATATGGAGAGGAAAAAAATTGAGTGGCCTTGTGGAAGCTACAAATCCGATCCGGAATGTGGGAGCTAATCTCCCTAACATTAGAATCTATAACCTGGCCAGTCTTTTCTGCCATGTTCGGGATTGGCTACATGATATTTCCTTTTATACCAATACTCCACTCGAAAGCCATCTGGTTGCACCATGGTCCCTTCTTGGTATATTGAACACTCCACTGAACTTACTTCCCAACCTTATTAGAGACACCGTGTTAGCATGGAGAGAAGTCAGGAAAATCTTCAGCGTCTCTACTGCTCTCTCTCCGTTAATGCCCATCAGGTCCCACTATGTCACTACGACCTGGCAATAAATCATTCATTCACCCATTAAACTCGCTTTCATTCTCACACTCTAAATTGTCATTATCCTTCCGCGCCCATACCATCGCAAATTATACCACAACATCCTCCTCTTTCACGCTGTCTCATGTTCGAAGATGGCGGAATTCCTACATATATCTACAGAGGATACCATCTCTTTCATTGAACATGGTTGGATGCAAAACTCTTAACATACCAGTCAAGAATAGTTCCTCTGTCTGGTTGACCTCTTGTCCTAAATGTCACTTCCCCTTACCTGATGTTACACATTTACTATGATCCTACCCTAGTATACAGACTTGTTTGGTCAGATGTAATCTCCTTAATCACTGTTCACTCTGGGAAAACGACCTCTGTTTCCAACCTTAATAGTATGCCACCCCCTCCATCACGTTGGGAACATTTATGTCTACTGACAGCTAAAAAGACAATCCTGAGTAACTGGATACTGCCCAATTCCCCCACAATTGCTACCTTTCGCTCCCTACTACTCAGTTTAATGCTACTAGATAAGTTAGATACCAAATTTAACCAAATGCGCACCCAAAAATTATTTGACACCTGGACATCCTTTATTTCCACAAAACTGTCATTACATCAATTGAAAGATCTGATGTCCATAATTAAACATTCCAAATAGTATCATGAAGCCAAACTAAATACTTATTTTGGAAGTTTGGATGTCCATTGACCTGATCTACCTATATCTCATCCAAGTATTTTGTCACCTTTTATCATTTCCTGCGAAAACCGTCCTAGTTATATAGTTTTCCCCATACATCACTGCATCTTCTAATACTTTGAAACATTGATGTACATCCTTGAGATATTATTCCTATGTTATAACTTTTTCATACTGGTCTGTGCTACTACCCGAATTTCTTCCATTAAAACTGCCTTTCTTATAACTGACTATTGTTAGTAGAGATTCAAAAAGATATTGTGGTTGTTTACATCTTATACACACCAGTACTTGTTCATGAATGTTTGTCTTTATAAATCAATACAAATTATACATACTTTTAAAAAAAAGAAATACTCTTAGTCTGTAATTCCAACAAGGAAACATTTTCTAACCTTCCATACATACTGTATACATCACAAAAAGCAGAATTCAAGAAAAAATTATATGTTTACCTCTGGGGCACGATACGTAATGCACTTCAGCATCCAATCTATAGCAGGAGAGTACAGTGTGAGGTATATAGGAATCTCTACAGCTTGAATCACCAGCTGATTCTGCACCATGTCACTGTGAATCTAAAGGGTAGATAAAAGCACAAGATAGTGTTAGATCAAGTGTAAACATAGGACTTTTTGTACTGCCCACAAACTTGTTTCCTCTAGTAGTACATTGAAAGGCACAAGACTCTATTCCTCAAGGTGTGGGTACAGCAGCCCCCTCTATGAAGTTTGATATTATGCAGATCAATAGGAGGCAACCCCATTTAGTGGCCTTACCCTGCACATGCAACATGGGCTAATGAAGAAGCAAACTGGAAGGAAGGCAACCTTCCAGGAAACATGTTCCAGGTGGAAACCTTCCAGCAACACAAAGTGTGAACTAAAGACCACATAGCAGACCTTATCTGCATACCTGGGAAAATGAAGCATGATACTATAAAGCAATCACTGCTGTTAAAGAATAAGTGTTGATAGAATATGGAGGATTCCAACCCATCAGAAAATATACAATAATTTGGTGATTACATCTAGAGACAATAATTGGTAACAATAAAGGCCGGGGACTCTCCAGGACAACAGAAAGTCTGTCTTCAAAATGGAAGCACTTACTACATCAGTTGTGTGTAAGAAATATTTCTTCAGATGAGAGAGCGAGGGAAGAGTGAGGGTAGGGACCTCATGTCCTCACTAAAATGGGAGGAGGACATGACCATAGGTAAAAAAATAACCTTTTCCTAGTAAAGAAATTAGAAAATGCATGGGAAAAGTTGATTTAAAAACAAAAAGGTTGTCAACTCCTCCTAGCTGAGGTATGGAGACAAGGCAGGCCACTTTCTGCAAGCGTCTTTGCGTGGACATGTGCGGTTACACTCGCTTGTAGCACGTGCATTGTATGCACAGACTCTGGGGCCAGACGGGCCATTTAAACTGTGCTCTCCTGATGTCCAGTGATGAGTGATTGTCAGTTATTGTTCCTAGATCCTGCTCTCCCGTTGTTGCCTTCCGGAGGATTGTCAGCAAGACCAGCACATTAAGCCGGCAGCCTTCAGGCACTCATGCCCTTCCATGCCCTGATCCCCATGTTCCGCTATTCAGGGGGTTTAGGACCGGAGTTGTAGGAAAGGCCTCCTTCGTCACTTCAGGTACGTGACAAAGCATATATATCAAGACGTACCCATTCATTGAATGAGAGCATCTGCTGGTTCTGCCAGTGCATCCTATGTTTTGACTATGAACTTGTCCACTTTTTAACTGTGATGAAATACCATCAGTTCAACATGTGGAGTTATGCACCTTTGACAGATCTGCTGAAACATGTCCTGGTGAAGCAAACATGTATTAATATGTTGATGGCTTAGGAAGCCCAACTGCCAATTCACCACTCTTGGGATCTGAGTGCGCTGGAACCAGACAATACTCCTGAGAAAATATGTGTTCTTGAGCCACAGATAAAAGTACTATTTCTGTGTTTGCAGATGACACTAAGTTATGTAGTGGAATACAGTCCTTACAGGATGTCTCCAACCTACAGGCAGATCTGAATGCTCTGTGTGATTGGGCAACTATTTGGCAAATGAGGTTTAGGCCCCATTCACATGTAGCGACTTATCGCGCGATTTACGCCACAATATCGCGCATTTTTGCAACGCGATATCGCGAGAAGTCACCGGCTAATGATAGTCAATGGAGCTGTCTTAGCTCCATGTCGCAAGTCGCTTCTACAGGACCCTTTTTTCGGCGGATTTTGCTCGATTTTGCTTTTTTCTATGGAGCCCGACGGAGAAGGTTGCGCTACCGTCGCTGGAACGTCGCCCCGAAAGTCGCGCTATCCTGGCAAGGTATGCAAAGGTATGTCGCTACATGTGAATGGGGCCTTAATGTTGATAAATGTAAACTTCTGCACTTGGGGACTGGAAACATGCATGCGTCCTATACTCTAGGGCAGTGGTTCTCGACCTTTCTAGGGCCGGGACCCCTTGGTAACATTTGCCAAGTTGTGGTGACCACCAACGGTAAAATTTAGGCTGCTGCAGCGACATCTGGCGGTGTGGCGGGAGAACCGACACTGCTGCGCTAGGAGAGGGCCGAGGAGGACTCTCACCTAGCATAGCAGAAACCACACAGCGACCCACAGCTTGAGAACCACTGACGTACGCCGTCAGAAAAAAAAAAACACCATAGGAATGCATAGCTAGATTCCTATTGGCTATTTCACTTTGCAATAGCCAATAGCAAACTAGCTATTGCACCCGCCCTCTGCTGCTGTCAATCACTAGAAGAGGACCTGATGGAGAACTTCAGGCCCCTCTCTGCTGATTGGCAGCAGCAGAGGGCGGGTGCAATAGCTAGTTTGCTATTGGCTATTGCAAAGTGAAATAGCCAATAGGAATCTAGCTTTGCATTCCAAATGTGGAAGTTTTTTTCTGACTTCCGGCGGCCCCCAATGTCAGGAAAAAAATAAAGATTTTCGGGAGAAAGTGTTTCTATCCCGGGCGGCCGGGAGCCGCTATCTAATAACAGGAGACTCCCGGGCGACCCCTAACAAATCGCGACCCACAGGTTGAGAACCGTTGCTCTAGGGGGAGTATGTTTGGGGGAGTCAATGATGGTGAAAGATCTGGGTGTTCTGGTAGATCATAGACTCAATAATAGCATGCAATGTCAAGCCGAAGTCTCTAAAGCAAGCAAAATACTTTCTTGTATTAAGAGGGGTATAGACTCCAGAGACAGAGACATAATCCTGCCCCTGTACAAAGCATTAGTAAGACCTCATCTGGAATATGCGGTTCCGTTTTTGGCACCAGTTCACAAAAAGGATGTTGTGGAACTGGAGAAAGTGCAGCGAAGGGCGACCAAACTCATAAGAGGCATTAAGGAACTCAGCTATGAGGAACGATTAGCTGAACTGAATTTGTTTTCTCTGGAGAAGAGGCGCTTAAAGGAGAACTATGGGGTCAGTGTTTTTCCCCATAGTTCTCCTAGGGGTAACGGGAGGACACAAACTAGCGTCCTCCCATTACCCTAAGCTCAGTATACCCCGAGCTACAGCTCGGGATATACTGAGACACCGCGCCTGGAGCGGATCCCGACGTAGATAACGGGATCCGCCCAGCTGCGTGAGTGACAGCTGGCTCTGCCTATCTAGAGGCAGAGCCAGCTGTACCCGCCCCCTCCCCCGTCCGTTCCGCCAGTCAGCGCTGGCAGATCGGAGCGGGGAGAGGGGAATCCAGCCCCTCCCCCTGTCACGGCAGAGAGCCGTGACAGGATCGAGAGGTTATGGGAACCCGGTATGTGTTCCCTCACCTCCCGATCTACTGAGCCGACCTGTGACAGTCTCATTGTCACAGGTCGGCTTAGAACTACGAGGTGAGTGGAAATCACTCATCCCATAGTTCTCCTTTAAGGGTAAACATGATCACCATGTATAAATACATAAATGATCCATATAAAGAACTTGGTGCCAAATTATTCACGTTAAGGTCACTGCAAAGGACAAGGGGGCACTCTTTGCGTCTGTAGGAAAAGAGGTTTAACCTTTGCTTACGAAAATGATTCTTCACAGTTAGAGCTGTGGAAACGTGGAATAGACTCCCCCAGGAGCTTGTTCTAGCTAGCTCGGTTAATTGTTTTAAAAAACATCTGGATGTATTCCTAAATGCACAGAATATTACTGGATATTGAGTTCTTAGAGGTATATTAAGCATCAGAGATTGTTGATCCAGGGAATATCCGATTGCCTTATGGGATCAGGAAGGAATTTTTTCCCCTATGTGAGCAAATTGAACCATGCTTTATAGGGGTTTTTTTGCCTTCCTCTGGATCAACATTGGGTAATTGTGGGCATAGTGTTCTGTTTAGGCTTTTCTTGTTTTGTTTTTTTGTTTGTTTTTTCTTTGTATCTCTATAGGTTGGACTCGATGGACTTTCGGTGTCTTTTTTCAACCTGACTAACTATGTAACTATGTAACCTGCATCCTCAGAACTTTAAACCCGAGTTGATCCAAAAGCAATGGCCCAATTTGCTCTAATAGGGAAAACAAATCCTTCCCAATGCCCTAAAATAATCAGACACTGCCTCTATTAACAATCTACAGTGTTGTTATACTCTATATCTACAGAGTTTGCTAAAGCTAGCTCCCGTGAAACTATTTTCCACATTTGCACAGTTCTTTTTGTAAAAAGGCATTTCTGCATGCAGAGGTTAAACCTTTTTATCCTCCAGACACAAAGAACACCACCTTTAATTTGCAATGATCTTAATGAAGAACCTTGCACCAAGTTTATGATTTTTACAGGGAGGCTTGTCAAACATCTTGGAGGACTTAGCACTCTGTAACTGCCAAGTCCTGGCTTAAATCTTCGGCTTGAAGATGCAAGGGCTTCACAAAGGCCTCCTGAGCAGGAAAGAAAGGTCTATGCAGGTAAAAAAAAAGTTGTAATCTAAATATGTATTTTTCTTGTGACCAGCTGCAAAAGTAGATTTTTGTTCTTAGGTTTAGATATCCTTTAAGACACTAAGCCAAATTGCCTATTTTGCATGTGACAGGGTATAGCTACTAGATAGGGCTGTACCGTAATGATCTGTATAGTGTCCAGCCCCCGAGAGGCAGTAGCTATACCTACTAAATCTAACCTAATAAAATCTTGTATTTACCAATGAACACTGGTAGAAACAAACTTATGGGCTCCAAAAGTAAGAATAGCTTAAATAGGCAAAAATAGTAAACAAGGGGGTGATATGTCTTTGAATACTTCCTTTATATCTACACATGTATTAGATCAAAGTAGGTAATTTTACTTCATTTTGTTCTCGATTTTATCTTTGTTGGTTAACCACAGCTTATTTGAACTGAAGATTGTTTTTGTTTAAAAAAAAAAGTATATATATATATATATCTCACAAATACATTCACACAGTAGATATACTGTAGAGGGCGGCACGACTGGGTCTTCGGAAGCCGATATATCTCGCCACTGTTTGGGTTGTGATCCCTTTAAGGGGCACCAGAGGGTTAATCTTCCTGCCAAATGAAGCAGTTTAAAAGTCAATAACTCCAGAGAGGAGTGTGGGTGTT